TGTTTTTGTCATTTTTATATCATGCCTCTGTTGTTGTTATATCCTTTTATTACTGTTTATTTATTAATAAACTTATATATTATTTTCATATACATTTTACTAATTTCCTTTCATCTCTCACACTTCTATTATAGAAAAAGGGCAAATAGCAATATTAAAATATCTCCACTAATTAATTCCCTTTTTAAAAAAATATATTTTATTGATTTTTTACAGAGAAGAAGGAAGAGAAATAGAGAGTTAGAAACATTGATGAGAGAGAAACATTGATCAGCTGCCTCCTGCACACTCCCCACTGGGGATGTGCCCACAGTCAAGGTATATGCCCTTGACTGGAATCGAACCTGGGACCCTTGAGTCCGCATGCCGATGCTCTATCCACTGAGCCAAACCAGTTAAAGCAATTAATTCCCTTTTAATGTGCATGAATTTCGTGTGCTGGGCTACTAGTTTACTTATATAGTTTAAAAATAATTAATACATGTACATTATTCAAAACTTAAAAAGCATAGAAAGATTTGGAATGTACAACCTCCCTCCTTCTGTATACCTCGTTGTCCAGTGTCCCCAAACGCTTCTATCACATGCCCACTAATGCTATTATTAGTTTCCTGTGGATCCTTCTAGATTCTTTTTGCATATATAAATGAATACTAAGATATATTTTTATCCCTCCTTTTATATAAATGGTAGTATACCATACAAATTTTTTAGTGTCTGATTTTTTTTTCTTTGACAGTTTATTTGGGAAATCTTTCTATATCAGTATAAAAGCCTTCCTAATTCATTATTATAGCTACATAATGTTCCAGTGTACCTGTGTCCCATGATTTATTTAACCAGTGCCCTGTTGATTGGACATTTAGGTCATTTTCAGTCTTTTGCTATTACAAGTAATGATGTAGTGAATACCCTCGTATATATTTTATTTCATGTATGGCAGAGTGTAGTGGTAGCATAAATTCCTAGAAGTGAAGTTATCATATCAAAGACTAAGTGTATTTATTTTGCAAGATACTGCAAAATTGGCCTCCATAGGAATTATAGCACTTTTACTCCCACCAGCAGTGTATAGGAGTGCCTGTTTCGGATGTCTCCTTAACAGGGTACACTAAGGAATGTTGGGATTTTTGCCAGTTTGATAGATGACAAACTACTTAGGGTGGTTTTGTTTGTTTTACTTTTTAAATTGAAGTAAAGTGTACAAATCTTAAAGGTTCAGTTTGCTGAGTTTTTGGCATATGTATGTACCTTAGAAGCCACCATTCAGCACAAGACACAGGATGTTTCCAGCAGCCAGAAGGCCACTTCATACCCCTTCTCATCAATACCTATTTCAGGTGTGACCACTATTCTGACTTCTGTCTCCAGAGAGAAGTCTGCCTGTACTTAAACCTCACATAAATGGTGTCATACAGTGTGTACTCTTTTATTTAACACAGTGTGTCTGTAAGAATCATCCATTTTGTGTGTAGCAATAGTCCTTTTTTACTGATCAGTCATATTCTACTGTATAAATTTGCCACAACTTATCCATTCAGCTGTTGGTGGACATTTGTTTTGTTTCCAGTTTAGTATTGTGAATAAAATGGCTGTGAACATTCTTATACATGCCTTTTGGTGAACACATACATTGATTCCTCTTGGGTGTGTAATTAAGATTTCTGGGTCATAAGTATAGCATTAGTAAGTACTGCTCAATAGTTTTCAAAAGTAGTAAACCAATTTGTACTCCCACCAGAAATATATGAGAGTTCCAATTATGCCATAAACTTGCCGGGTATTTTCAGTCTCACTAATTTAGGCCATTCTGTTGAGTGTGTGATCCTGGGCAGTTTCTCTCTCTGGGCCTTAGGATCCCGCCTGAGAAATGTTTCTAAAGTTGGCTTAAGGATGTGAGTCTGTTCTCACATCCACAAATTGTTGTGCATCCTAATAGACCATCGCTGTCTACACTTGCCTTGCAGGCAGTAGGTGCTTTATTAAACACTGCATGAATCTTACACTTTTCCCTCATCCCTTCCCTTTAGCTTGCTAGCAGCTGATAATGTAGCATTCTCAATGCTGTGGAGGCATACAACAAGCGTTGTTACCTCATGGGGCTAACATTTAATGGGAAAGAGCTACGAGTTAAGCTTGGCTCATAATATGCACTTAATAAATAAATAATGAATGAATGAATGAATACAACACAGAGAGTGATAAGAATTAGGAGAAAGAGTGAAGAGGGAGGAATGATTAATTTTGGAAATTCGCATGAAAGAGGTGGCTCCTGAGTGGAGGAAGGGTGCTGAGGGATATTAATTCAGTAAGTTTGTGCTTTTCAGTTTGAGACAAGAAAGAGGTTGCTGATTTTTTGGCCCTCAGCACACTGGATGTCTGCTTGTTCTGGCTAGGCATTGTGCCTCTAGAATCCCCATCAGACTTCTTGGCCCAGACTCTGCCCTGACCTAGTTGCAACTACAAACCCAGCCCAGGCCAGTCCCTCCCTCTTCCCATGGCAGTCAAGAGGTTAAATTTAGTCATGAAACTCCACAGTGTAGCCCTAGTGTGGCATGTTGCATATGTCACTAGCCTCGTATGTGTGCACACTGCTAGAAAGTACAGTCCCTGTTGTACAGAAGAGGAAATGGAATCTCAGAAAGGTTGCATGGTTTGCCCCAAGGAACCGAGGCCTTAGAGTTAGGAAGTCATGGGTTCTGATTCCAGCTCTGCTGCATAATGTCTGTGTGACTGTGGGCAAGGCTCCTACCCTCTCTGAGCCTGTGAGTCTCTCATCTCTAAGGAGTGAGATAATAATAACTTCTGTAAGTGTTCCTCATTGGAATGAATTATGTGGTTTATGGAAAAGCTCTTGGCATAGAGTAGGTACTCGGCAGCTCTGTTTATGACTCATGTCAGTGCTCTTTCTGGTGTTTCTTCTTGCTTCCCAT